TGTTTAGTTTTTATTAATATGCTCAGGAGTACTTTCTCCTCATTGTCAATCATTTATTCTATTCTAAGATCATCCTCCTATTCATAATCTACATGTGACCTAACAGTTGGCCAGACGAGATGATGAAGATCTCCCTGGAACTTTTTGCTAAATAATGAGATCAGCAAATCTCTTGCATGCCCAATACCTGAATTAATATATGCACATATGTACGTATTCAATGAGCATACGTGCACGCACACGCAAACACCCAAACATTCACTCACACGAGCTTGCATGCATGAACCAGCATACTAATCCAAAAACATGTCCATGCTCAGACGTACGTCTAACAATGGACCGTTTGCCAAGTCAGATCGTTTTTTAATTGCTTAATCCACTACAGATAGGACGATTTTATATTATAGTTTTTTTGCATTTTTATTCATTATTGTTATCGTTTATGCCTTATCAAAGTATTAGGATTATATTCGCCCTTTGGGCCAAGTCAAACTCAACAAGGCGGGTGGCTGCATAATTGTGCAAACCCACAAGCACATATTTATTGTACGTGCTTGAGGACCGCCGGCCGCAGTAGGATTTCTTCTTTTTCTTTTTCTACCCTTTTTGCCTATCCAAGTTCCAATTTTGCCCAAATATTGTAATAGAGAAAGATAATTAGATCGCTTTATGCCCAATCTTATCCAGGCAAACTGCTTTATTTGCTCAGATAACCCACAACCATTCTATTTCGAATAGGTGGAGGCATTTCCCCACCTCTTTTCTCAGTAATTTTTCACTGTTCTCCAGTAATTTTTCTGCTTGCATTAAAAGAAAATCTAGCTTTAATCGCATGTAGGAGTCATTTCTCCCCATCATTCACCCAGACTAAATGAAGCACCCTGTGACCACATTTCAGTGTAAATGTTCCTCTCCATGACACCCTTTCTTCTCATGAACTTTGTCTCTCTTAAACCGCCAGCATTTCCTCTTTCTGCTGGGATGTAGGTCTCCTGCCTTGAGGTGAGAATTTTTGCGCTGAGGCAGGTGCGTTGAAGAGGTACGTCTCTTCTTCGTCAGGGTTATATCAGACACCATCACAAGAAGGCGGCTACAACCAACCTCACTATCATCATTGCTGGCATTGC